AACGTTTTTTGTTTCTTCGTTTAATAGAAAACCAATTTTTCTTACGGTACTTCCTGCAATACCCCCGTTTTTACACTTATTAGATCAATATCTCAAAAGTGGAACGAGTAACCAGGCTGTATCCTAACTTTAACTGGCAACAGTGTTTACTGAAATTAGCAAAAATTTTTCGACTCTAGGAATTTTGCCTTTGTACATTTATAAATCCCGGGTGATATCGGTTAATCTTTTCTTTTTCCCCTTATTTTGTTCAATTTCGATGTTTTTTGTGTGCGTTTTCGCTCTTTTTTCATTTCAAAACCACTTTCCTTTCAAAAACCTGTTTTTTCCAAAGTGTTTTCAGTTTTTCCTAAACCGGACAGTGCCTGTTAAAGACTCGTTTGTCGCTCTCATACACACACATACGTACTTGTCATCACCTCTTCTTTCTGTTATTTGTTTGCTTTGTTTTTTTTGTCCACTTCTTCTTTTCTTCTTCCGGTGAAACGGTCACTTCTGTCTTTGGCCCCGGGCGTGTGTACATCGGCGTAGAATTGTGCTTTTAGTGCTTTTGGCAATAAAGTCACACCGGGCAAAGCAGACAAGTTTAGTTCTTAGAGTGAGAGCATTCAACACTAAGAGTCACACACAAAAAAAAATGAAATGAGAAAAATTCTAGTTATCTAAAGTTTTGGAAGAAAATTAATTATTCGCTTCGCTGAAACCAGGTCAAAAAGCAACCATATTTCAATTACAGACATAAATTAACGTCTAGTCTCTTCGAAGGCTGAAGCGTACAAGTGTGAACGCTAACGGAGCGAGCATCGACACTGCAGTAGTTCTCGAAATATAGAGGAAAGTACAACTCATCCATTTTTTTTGACCTTGAAATTCACGAGAATTTCAAGGTCAAACAAGTTTGCGGTAAAAGTCCTCAATAGAGAACCGCGCAGAAAAACGTTAAGATCGTCCGCAAAAAGATGGCATGAAAAAGCCAAACAAAGTGTGGGAAAGAAAAGGCTAAAAGCAAGCGCTTGCGAAGGGAAATCATATGTCGTGGAATAGAGTGAAAAATTATCCGTAAGGCTCAATAGGTTTTGCGGATCAGCCGTACAAGTTCAGAAATAAGCCTGCCCCAACCGAGTTTGGTGCTTAGCTCATCGCCTAAGTATCTGAAATCGGGCACGTATTCTATCGTTTTACGATTGTAAACGAGATGTAGATAATGTGCAACATACACCGCTGAATGTATAATCATTATTTTAGTTTTTTCGGTATTGACCGGTAAAATATGGTCTGTAGAAAACCGCCGAAGCACTTTTAAGGCTTGGTGGGCCTGAATTTCAAGGTCAAACAAGTTTGCGGTAAAAGTCCTCAATAGCGAACCGCGCAGAAAAACGTTAAGATCGTCCGCAAAAAGGTGCACGACATACCGGAAAAAGTATTCAGACAAGAAATGTATATGCAAGATAAATAATAACGGCATAATAATGGAGCCCTGAGGACCGCCTACAAGTATTAGAATCGGCATGGAACTGGCAGTATCCTTGATTGTAGAAGCTTTTTTTTGCTTTTAGCCTTTTCTTTCTCACACTTTGTTTGGCTTTTTCATGTTTATTTTTATTTTACAAAGAATCAACGTGAAGATTTACAATATTTATTTTACACGAGGATCCGCCTAGTTTTTTCACTGCAAAACTTCGTTGATATGAGCACTATGATTCTTGCGCGAGGCTATACCTTCAACGACTACTTGTACTGCTACTGGGTGAGATTTTCGGCACCTATAGAGGAACACGACGAAGGCACTCGCTACAGGCAAACTTGGTCCGAATATCAGGCTTCGGTTTCAGAATTTCGCGCACGTCAGTACGTGAGAAAAGCGTCTAGAAACGATATTATCTTCCAGGAAAGACTGGCTCAAAATGCGCGAGATGTCAGGTTGAACTATCAAGCATTTTTACAGTCGCATAAAACCGAGTACGGCTACTATCGACATTCGTTGGCTCCCATAATTATGTTTCTAGCAGGGCATTTTGGTTGGCAACCACCATAAACGATAAACCGCACGCATAATAAAACCGCGATTCACAGACATACGCAAAATCAACTAGTCTTGATCATATACACAAAGAAATATATCTGCACTCACGGCAGTACTGTATCTTCTTCAATTACGAATTCGGTCAACTGTTCGTCAACAGTTTTTTGCCAACTTGTATGTGTGTGCGTTTTCTCTCTTTTTTCATTTCAAAACCACTTTCCTTTCAAAAAACCTCATATTCACACTTTGTTTGGCTTTTTCATGTTTATTTTTATTTTAATTGAGATCTGATAAAAATGCATAGTTGATTCAGCTTTTCAGACCGGGTGATTGTCGACTAGTAATGTTTCTTATCTGGAACAAAGTGTAAAGAATCTTCATGTATATTTAGTGATTTATTAGCACTTGAACACTTTTATTTCAAAATAAAATACATCACTGGAAAAGTCATGGCACCAGTTACATTATATCAGCCGTTTTTGAAAAATGTTTATGTATAGCAGTTCCATGAGAACCACACCATCGAAACAACATGAAAAACTTTAAGGCATACTATTTTAACTCTCAATCTATGACATGTTTAGTGACTTTCTAGAGATCGTTTTCATTGAGGATGCAAAAATGCTCAATATTCTGTTAAAGATACCATACAAAAGTTTTGTTCTCTGCTGGAGTTGTACGTGAGACTATAAACCATAACCTAAGACATTATTCAACTCTCCATGAGTCGGAAAAGACGGTCACTGTTCAGAAAGTATTATAAATATACAGTTTTTGTCTAATTTTGCTGCCAAAAGTCGAAAACTGCTTCATTTTTTCGGTGCAACTCTGTGAACTTTTCCTTTGTAAATTTTCTTGTTTTTTATTAAAGTAAAATTCTAAACGTTTCGATATGTTAACATGTCTTCACCTATAGAAAATAGCGAACAGAATAATATGCGATACATTATTATGAAGAGATTCTTGGGTGTACATATCGTTTGACTGGAAATTAAATAACACGCATAAAAAGGATGTATGCGTCTCTGAACCACCGGTTCTACGATTCATTCCATATTAAGTGGCACGTGTTATTCGAGTAACCTTTAAAAGAAAGGAGATAGAGGCATCCGATTTTCACCATTCACTATCCAAGACCGGGACACATGGTTCTATGGAGATATATTTATGAAACTCTTTGCGAAGTTTGGTTTTTGATAAGATCCCTGCAAAATCAGATTGGTACTCCGAAAGTTACCATACAAATATTTTCTTTTTCTTATGCATCGATAGTTCGAAGTGACTTCTTCAAACTAAGAATTAGGCAATCTCCTAATTTTTCGTAGTTCAGACGTGTCACCGAATTTTGATAGCAGAACGGAACCTGCTCTACAAAATAGTATATTCAAAAACATTATCTTTAGATAAAAAGAAGTATGACTAGTTATTAACTGAGCAATTAACTAGCTAATAAAATGATCATATTTTTTGTATTATCGAAACTTTTTATAACTGGTACTGGCGAAAATATAAACGTTGTTGAAACCACACCTCGTCGCATTTTGTTGACACCAGATATGCAGAGGTTGCATATCCCTGAATATTTCTGATTTGAAAAGTACTGGTTTCTTTCTGAGTTATCTCAAACATATAACCAAACGACTTAGAAGAATTAGCACTGTTGAAATTAAAACAAGTAAACGTTTTGAAGATGTACACACTGTCCGAAATCCATATACCCTTTTAAGCAGGTTTGTGTATCTTGAGCTAAAGTATGATAAGACTGTAAGCTTTTTAGCTTCAGTTCACGGAAAAAATGAATGTTGTGTGTTTTTGTTTTATTCTAAACTATATATTTTTTGTGAATCTTCCAGCGAGACAAATGATTTATGTTATTTTCGTTCGTCATTAAAAGACTCCTAGAACTGACCTGTTGTGCTCTTTGCTCTCAAAAGTAAACTCAGAAGATTTTACTCTTTCGAAAAATTACACTTTTTTTATTTTAAACCATATTTTGGTTATAAAGCTTATTTGGTTTTCTACTTAGTATTGGGACCGTCTTTCAGGAAACGAAGGAAGGAAGAAACCTTGCGGTATAGGGTGTTCTCCGGAGACAGTGTCGTAAGCCCGATATCTTCCCTACAACTAATACTAGCTGTAGATCTGGACAGAAGACCAGCCTGACTAAGAGTTCTATCGCTCAACTGCTTCAGCTCCTCGTACAAACTGACTAACCACGTACTAACTACGAGGGCTGGTGTATCTCACTACAGGAAAGAGATGTTAACAAACTTTCAATGTTGCTTTAAACCGGTTGTTAAAATTTGCACGTTCCTCTTAGTTTGTAAACATCTTGAACACCGTTCTTTAGTACAGGTCTGACAATGGAACGGTTTGTACTGTCAAGCCGCTTTCAAGTTCGGAGCATGTGTATTAGGTAGACCCCGGTGAGGTATAAAAAACCCCAAAAGGCTATGTGCTGATGGACCTTCCCTCCAGAGTTACAGTCATTATATAGGAATTTTAGCCTATTGCATGGTATCTACCAAAAACACTAAATGGGTTTGGTGCTTTCTCATGTTGTAGATTCTCTAAACAATTTATTGTTTTTGCTAATCCATTCGTTGACATTTTCATAAAATGTGATTATCGATTAATATCCCTGTAATGTTTCTTTATTGTTTTCGATTTGTTCTTCTTCAATTATTTACTCAGTTAATTTATGCATTCCGGGCTCATTCTTTCGGAATTCGCTTAGCTGCTGACTAACGTCTCGTTGTCATTATGCCACGGCAGAATTTGTGTTCGTCTGAACTTGTATGTGAAACATGATTTGAGTCGTCGAGTTTGCTTAACGTTCTACTATTATGGGTCATCCTGAGAGGGAGATGTAGAACTGTTGCAAAAATCCTGTTATTATATTTATCTGGTGAACTGATTTCGGTAGAAAGATTCTTCTATGGTGAAGCATTAAGTATTAATATTTTAATATATCGGAATGCTAGGAATCTCCTTCCACTCTACATCTATTGCCGTCTATACCAGCAATGAACGTGGTAGTGGTACGTGGTTCAGTACTATGAATGAAAACCGGTA